AGAAAAGGAAACACTGCCATTGGTGTCTCTGAGGACACTGCTGAGAATTAGAGAAATGCCTGTTCAGAGGATTAAGCCCTGCAGCAAAAATGTTAGAGGACCACACTAAAGCAACACCTGACCAGTTCTTCAGGAAGTACATGGCAGATTTTTCATGACACAGTATTTGGGGGTAGTTTTCTCTCTGCAATCTGTACAGAGATCCAGGGGAGCATTACACCCAAGTTACACCTACACAAATAATTGCTTTCTATGACTCACACAAGTTCAGGCTGTTGTGAAAAAGGAGCTGACTCTTACAAAGCTACAGGATAAAAAAATGTGGACAAACTCCGCTAGTTTTCCTACACTGGAAAGAGATGAAAATTAATGGAGAAAGACAACCGGAAGCAGCTAAAGGAAAGAAGGAGCTGAAGGGGAAAAAAAAGCTGTAGCTTCCCACTTTGTAATGTAGGCAGCAAACTGACAGCCAAATTAGGTGATGGGTTTGTTTATTTAATGGAGTACAAGAGGGGATTCCTGTGTAAAGCTCTCTAATTGTTATATATGCTAGGAGCCTCCCAGCACTGCTCTGCTTGTTTGTAATGGATTTATGGAAAGGAAGACAATGTTAACACATTTGGAACAATTACAAGGTTAAGAACCAGGTTTCTGCCCTGCCATTTGTACTGTGCTTTGTTACAAGACAAAATCAACAGCAAAACGTATTCTATCAGGAGAAAAACAAAAAACAAATCTTGACTTGTTCTACTGAAACCAAAGAATATTAGGAGAGTAGGAAAGCAACCATGCACAGGAGGCAAGAGGTGGGTAAATCAGACACAAAATCTACCTTCAGCTCTGGAATGCAGTGCTAAAGCACTGTGAGAGCTGTAAGCCAGATAGAAAGATGCCAAAGTAGAGATGGCCAGAGATTTGGAAGATAAAAATGTAAGTTTCTATAAGTAAAAAATAACAAAAAAGTAGAACTGATGAGATAATTGCTAACAGGGGTGACTGGCTCTAACCCTGCTTCAGGCAAGGACAGTCAAGTTCAGCTCTGAAATGCTGACTTTGGAGCTTCCAAAAGCTGGCTTCAGTGGGCTTGCAGAAAAGCAAGGATGGGAATGGGAAAGCAAAGCAAAGTTTGGGTGCTTTTGTCTTTCATCAGGAGTTACTGGACTGAATGTGGCTGGTGGGCAGCATCGTATTTCTCAATATTAACTTTAGCCTTTGTTGGAGGTTGCTATAAAAAAGAAGGAAATCTAATGGCATCTTGTTAAAAATAACCTCACAAAGGAATGTTCCCTCTTGGCTGAAATGCAGCATTTTTGTCCGTGTGTGCCTGTTCTGTGTGTAATTTTATCTATGTTATTTCTTCAAGTTTGGAAAGTTAAGACATTAATACTATCGGAATTCTGAAGCTTATCAGAAAAGCTCTGGGGCACTTCTTCAGTTCTTGTATGTGAATGGTTTAAGAACATTTCCTCGATTGCACAAGACAGAGAACACTGGAGGACACTGCAAGCTGCAGGAAAGGAAAGGTTGCTGCTGATAAATCTGCCTGGTGGTATTTATTTACTGAAGGAATTATTTTGTTTCAGATAGAAGAAGGTTAAATTTATACCAGAAAGGCCCAGCAAATTTGCTTTGGGTGACTGTACACATTGAAAACACAACTTATTTAACTCAGCATTGCTGCCTGGAAGATGGCCAGAGGAGCACTGCTCATTGCAATGAACACAGCCAAACACACTGCTCTTACACTCTGGTTTTAGTGCACTCATTGTGCTGTGCTATGGAAAAAGCCATGGAGATCCATCCCACTGCTGCCTATAAAGTTAATGAAAAATGAACATTTTCTGTTGGATAGATCATCACCAGCAAAGAATAAAGTATGCACCTGAAATATTTCATGAGAGCTTTTGATGACCTCCGTGTTGCTCTTTAGCAATGTATAATATGAGGTGGAATCTTATCTTGTCTTCTTTTCACTTCATTTCTACATAGAAACTTTTTTAGGAGGCTGTTTTAGGTAGACAAGAAATGAAATTGACTCTGCTATCATTACACACCACTGGGACTGCAATATGGGTAACACTTGATGACTTGTTTAGTGCAGGGCTAGCATCCCCTGCACTTGCACACACTGATAAAACAAAGCCCTGATGGACATAGTGAACATCTGCAGTAAGGAAGTGTTTTCAGTGTTCATTTGAACACAATTCAATGGACGAGGTGATTGTATTGAGACTATACTGCACCTATTGTACAGCAGATGCCTTTGAAAGCAAGGGTACCACTGAAAGACCAGCCAAACACCTGAAGCACAAAGTCAATATTTAACAGAGATGTTTGACACGTGCTTTAGGGAACCATCCGTGTCATTTACATTTCTCATCCAAGTGAGATTATGCACAGCCAGCTAGGAGCCCAATTTCCTTGTGCAGACAGTGTGTGAAAACCAAATTATCTCCAGAGGACAACAAAGAAACATGAAGTGGAAAAACCCATACATTCAGACCCTCCTCCAAGCATTCCAGTAGCTTGAGGCTCCCTTAAAGACCAATACAGAGAGAAAAGGGCCCATGAAACAAACTGCTGGGGATCCTTTCTCACTGCTGAAAATAAAGGAAGCCAAGGATCCTGCTCTGCTCACTGATGAGAAAAACACTTTGGGGATTTCTGCAGCTCCATACAGGTGGTCTGGTGCCAGCAATTACCTTTTCTGAACATTTTTGTTCAACCACACTTCACCTCTCTCAGCTTCCGTACGGTTCTATGGGGTGGTGGAGCTTTCACAAACATGTCAGTGAAGTTACCAGGTAGAGCAGAACTGGTTTTCCTCTGAGTGCCACAGCAAGCTGTCAGTAACTTAAACACTGCCAAAACAGACAAAATGACGAGCAGTTGATCCACACCTGAAACAGAGATGCTGAATGCTTCAAAGCACAGCCAGCTGCAATCTGAATTTCCATGCCTTTTAATTTGAACATATAATAAAAATATCCTTTTAATAAAAATAATTAATATTATTAGTGTACTGTTGTTAGTTCATACTTTTCAAGAAAATGGTTTTCCACTGCAGTAATTAAGCAATAGGTGGCCTCTTTCTTCTTTTGGAGAAGGTCTGATATGTCTTTATGTGACCTAGAGACTTAAGGAGAAAGAAAGAAAACTGATAGAACTTTGTTCAGCTAAGATTTAAGATCATTATTGTAAAATAGCCCATTGTTTCCCAACTGGAATGCATTCACTGTAAATCAGAGCACGGAACAGAGTATCCTGGCTAACAGCCTAAGCTTTGAACAATGCCTCATCCACACAGCAACCTCCTGGGAGATACATGCAGTATCTTACCCCTGAAATACACAAAAGAATATCTCTTCATCCAACTCAGATATAAGAACATACAGAAAGGATCTGAAGACAGAATTGTTGCTCTTCTTTACCCTGCTTAGGCTTTCCCAAGGAATTTCCAAAAGCACCATCAGAGCCTCACCTCCCTCTCTGAACCAAGATCCTGCACTACAATCACATCCTTTTTCTGCCCACTGAAAAAGCAGAGAACGGTGCTAAATCATGGAGCATTTAAGAGACTCACCTGGATAGTAAAATCCTAATAGGATTGAAGCTTCTAACAGAGACCAGCACATAATAGTTTTATGGGAGCATTCAGCTTTCTTGAAGAGGCTAATGAGGAAATAAGGCATTGCCTACAGCAAGAGAGCTATCTGGCAAAATGGCTTCAGGGCAAGGGTTCTTAATTTGCCCTTCAGTATTTCCCAACCACTTGAAAGTACAATCGCTTTCTTGCAAAAGCACGGTGCTTTTGCAGAATGAACTTTGTGCGAAACAAATGCCTGCAAGCACGTTCAGTCTTTAGAGCAGTATGTGCTGTGATGTGAGATTACGTGAGGAAATAAAGCATGCTTTGCCACGGCGTGGCTGAGCAGCTGCTTCCTCTGTCAGTAGAAATGAGTTGAACTTGTTTGCAGGACAGAGAAAAGCACCTGCAGATGCTGTCAGCGCTGCACATCTTTACGAGCTGTTCAAATACAGCGTTAGAAGTGGTCGGATTTGCTGTTACCTTTTAAGCTGCTCAAACACACATCCCTGCAGTCACGGCTATGGCAAGGATTGTGAGACAAGCACGGGTAGCAACACCAACACAACAAAGATTTATGGCAGGATCCACGGCAGGGGGGGAGCTCTGGGAACAACCATTCTTCATGTGCCTCCAACTGCATCAGTGTGGCTCGGCAGGCCACGTGCTCTCTGTGTCCCAGCGCACCAGAACATGTTCTCAGCGCTGTCGCCTGCTCTGCGACCCAAGGAAAACCCGCATACATTCCCCAGCAATTATTCAGAGGCATTCAACCTGCCCTCGTGCTGAATCCGCCCTGTTCGTTCCACATGAACCTCTGACTTCTTTTCAAATGGCAGAAATCTTTTATTTATTTATTTATTTTTGATGGTATTGCCTGAGGAGAGTCTTGCTTAACCCAAACGTTGCGTTAGCAGTCAGTAACAATGTGAGCTACCAACCAGCTTGGGCACGGATAAGATCTGCTCCTGCCTTCAGCATGAAGTTTGCTCTGGATACTCTTGCAGCTATAGACAAGCCCGACATTAAGAACGTTCCTATCTTTCCAGTACAACTCCTGGAGAGAGTCACCTGCAAAGTAAACCTCAGCAGAAGAGCCCCTACATCAGGTAGTCTTATTGCAGTTCAGATCCAATCTTGACTTTGAGCTGAAGGAATAAACATTCCTGACTATTCTGGGTAATTTCATCTCCGGGATGAAGGAAAGATCTCTTTGCAGTCCTTTAGGGGAAGAGGATCAAAATGAAATCACTGCCAAATCCTGGGCTGAGAGCCAGTGATGTCCATGGGACTTCCCCAGTTAATATAGTACATTTAGTATCATACTCTCCAATCTTTTTTCCAGACTTGTCCTTGAAAACAGCTCCCTTAGGTTGTATAATTTCTTTGCCAGACAACAATCTGTTACCACACATTTGAAAGAAAAAACAATCTTTCTCTTATTTGATACGTTGATTATATCATGAATTACATCTGGGTCTGAAAGTACATTTCCATCTAGACTTTTGTCAAACACATTTACTTCATACTGAATAGCACATGGTGGATTCCTCTTCCACAGAAGCTTGAACAAATTCTACACAACCTACTCATCTAAAGGAAGATTACTGGCGCAGTAAAACAAGGACATCTAGCACACTATTTACAAAGGGATCCAGGATGCTCTAAAATCCCCGAGTTCACCACAGTAGGGATTTGTGTAGATAACCAAATTCTGCTGTCCTTACTTTGGAAGGAATCTCTTGCACTCAGTGAAGGGGTTTGCAAGGTCAGCTGTTAGTAGCATGAGGGTCATGAGACCTATTTCCTAACGTGTAAAATTCCTAATGTTACTTACCATAGCAGTTGAAGGAGTGCAGAGAAATGCTGCTTAGCACCTGCAAAGAACACCTACCATGTTCTGCAAGACCCTGAACAGTAACATGCCATATAACCGTCACCTCACCAAAGATTTGAGAAGAAACAGAGTTTAAGCTGCTTTCGTGCAACGTATGAAACACTTTGCTTTCTCAAGAGATAGTGGTAGCTACTCCATTTTTCCTACTCTGCCATGACACAGCTGCATGCCTTGTGCTGTTTGTATTCGTTATTTTCACTTTCCTGCCATTGTGAAAGGACTTCATGTTCGGACACTGTCCTAATGCTTAATGCAGATGGTTTTCTGTCATTTTTGAAGGCTGCTGTGTGTTGTGTATGGCACTGCACCATGCCAAGCAGGGCACTGTGGGGCAGGGATGGCTGTGGCCAGTGGCTCCCCACATCCAACCTGAGCTGCCGGCTTACTGCATGCATCTGCTGGCAAAGCACAGGGGTTAGGAGGAGGGCATGGCATGGGATATGTCACATTTGCACCACTGCAGCATGTTGAGTTGGATATTGTAACTGACTTTCTTATTTGCTGCAAAAACAATACAACATTTCAACTCACGCATTCTGGAACCAAAACTCACACTGGATCTTGTCTTTAGGGGATACAGTGGAGCTTTGCATACCTATGTTTGTTCAAACAGAAGAGTTATTGGCTGTCAGAGGGGTGAAGGTGTAGGTTCAGATCTATCTCACAGCAGGAAAATCAATGTTATGACCCACATCCTCTTCTGTATCACTCTGGTTTATCCCTGTGAAATGTTTTTGGGATTAAAAGTGTTCTGTCTGGAGATTATAGTATCAAATTCAGATTCTCTCTCAGCTGCAGAGGAAATGGAAAGCAAACATTTGAGCGAGGCAGCAAGCAGGGCTGGCTCACTCCCTTTCCAGACCAGGGCCCAGGAACATTTCAGCAAGGACTGCAGTTATATCACCCATGTAAGTCTCCCTCTGGCTTCTCGCCCCGGCTTACTGCCAGGGGCAGACAGGCAGCAAAGCAAAAAAAGTCTGTTTTTGGAAGCTGAGGGAAGTTACACCACCGTCTACAGACGTCAGGGCTGACACTTGAAGCTGGCAGGATTACAACCTGGGCATGGAGAGGGATGGATGGATGGATGGATGGATGGATGGATGGATGGATGGATGGATGGATGGATGGATGGATGAGTGGGTGGGTGGAAATCCCGTGGGTTACAGAGGACACAAGTACAGTGGGGAGGTGCTTCTGGGCTCCCCCTGTAGAAGAGGTACAGCTCCCAGCTCCTGTCCTTGCTGTCTCCAGCCACACTTGCACCTATGTCTGCACATGAGACCACCAAAACCCAGCCCTGCTTCCTGTGAGGGCACTCCAATGATGCAGAGTGGTGCAGAGCACAGCTGTGGAAATGATAGTGTGGGAGAAGGTCTGCAAGTACCTGGCTAGGTGAGGGAAATGCACCCAAGCTTGCGGCTGCTGGCTGGGTATCTCACAGGATTAGGCATCACTTGAACCTCCTCTCATTAAACCTGTGTTTTCCCAATAAGCAAATCCCTGTTTTGACTCTTGCTTCTTTTGAATTTATTTGCTTCTTTCATCTTATTTCTTGAGAAATACGGGGGAGCATTGCTTCTCAGTTAGGCACCTCAGTAAACACTGCAATCTGTCAACCACTGTATCTGGGGAAAAGGGTTTGTGATGCTAAACAGAGCAGCCCTGGGCTCCTTCCACATACAGGCACCATACAGGTAAGGCAAAACCACAAGAGACATGAGGAGAGCACACCCCAGGACAGGCTGCACAGTCCATCACAGCAAGAGCACTCATTTTTCTCTGAGAGAAGCAGAGTCAAAAAGCAAGCAGTGAGCCCGCCAGCATCAAGAGAAGGCTGCCAGACCACCTCATCTCCACGTTGCATCTTTCCTGTGTTCCTGCCAAAACAGCTCCCAGAAGATATCCAAAAGCCTTCATTTTCATGGGGAAGCACAGCAATTTTCTCGCCCCTTGGTACTCTGTGCCCTACAGGCAGGAGAAGGGGACCCATCACAGACAGCAGCCAAGCTGTGGCAGTTGGCCGTGGGGCAGCAAGATGATATTTCTGCCCATAATCTGGCCTGAGGAACAGGACAAATGTGCTGAGTGTGTTCCAGGGCATGCTCAAGCTGCATTGACTTCTCAGGGAGAACACGCTGTACCAAACATTTCTTATTGTATATCTTGTATAAACAAGACATTTAGCTCACCACTCAGCACTGGCTTGTGCTAATAAATGCCAGTGGTTTTCCTTGCTTCATGTTTTGAAGTTGCATATTAAAGTCAACTAAGAGATGTGCACAGGATGCTCAGTTTGGATCGAGGCTCTTCACAATTCATTTAAGCTAACGGTAATCAAATACGGCCAGAAAAGGAAGCTGCAAATAGGATTATATGTACAACTATGACAGAGACCAAATGAACCTGAGGAAAACCCATCCCTTCCAGCCATCTCTGGGGAAGAACACACTAACAGGCCTAGAATTGTTCCAGAACATTCCCATATCCAAACAAGCCCTGCTGCCACTCAGCTTTGACTCCAAACCCATTAACTTTTCCATCTGGAAGAGCATCATTCACCCCTTTGCAGCTGTCTTCACCACTGATACACGGAGCAGGCACAGCCCTCTGAACTCCAACTGTTGCTCAGAAATTCATCTCACTGCACTCACAGAGCAAGTAAGACAATGAGCAACCAGACACACTCTTGCATTTCCCTGGTAAAAATTGTGTGCATCATTCCAGGGCAGCAAAGCACCATCAGTGGGGATCCCCAGCTTCCACAGAGCTCCTTGGGCTGCCTGCCTGTTTTCTGGCAATCCCTAGGGAACACAAGACTTGTAAAGGACTGGGGCATGTGAGGGAATTTGGGTTTTGACAGTGAAAAGTTGTAGCATCGCACAACTTGGAATTATTTGCAAATATCAGGGAGCTGTTCACTTAAAAGGAAAACAATAGCCTCCAAATTTGCAAGAAAAAAAAAGAACCTTACATTTTTGTCTATTCTTTGTCAGAAAATTAAAAACAAAAACAAACAACAACAACAAAAAAAAAACACTGAAGCTATGGAAAATCACATTTTCCATTTTAAAAAGCCTGAAAAATCCCATGAGGAACTGAAGTGTAAGGAAGTCACAGATCTCACCCATATTCAGTTTGCTCTAGAAATAAAGCAGCACTCTGACACAGCACCTCCCTGGCTCCCAGCTCAGGTTCCTCTGCAGACAGACTTTTGGGGCTGTTTGTTTTACCCAGGTGCTCAAACTCACAACCTATTTGAGATACACAGAATATCTGGCAAGAAACGTCACCACCAAGCTAGCAGGGTCTCTTGCTCTGTCATTCCTGCAGAAGGTGACCTTCTGGGTAGGCTTTTTTTGAAAGTAGCGATTTTCCTCCCCTCTCAGCCTTACCTCCCACCTAACTTTCCTTGTTTCCATTTCTTTTCCCGAGCAGATAGCAATGAACGCACCGCCTCAGCCCCAGGAAGCGCTCGCTAATCTCTGCCCTCTGGCTGCAGCAGCGGGAGATTCTGCTTTGCTGCTCTCTCATCCGGAAAGCTTTCCCAGCCCCTCGCAGGCATCAATGCTGCCGCAGCCAGACTTCAGATTCCTCTCGTATTTTCCTACCTGTGAAGGTTTGTGCATTAAAGGCAGAAGGCACGAGCCTTGTTAAAAGCCTTTCTTTTTGAGCAGGTCCAAACTGACGCACTAAACCCGTGTCTTAGTGTGGTAGCAGATGGGCAGCATTGGGGTCAACTCCTGTAGTTTGTTTTGTTTTGTGACTACAGAGATTACCAATCAGTGGCACAGCTGTGCTCATTACTGACCTGTAAAGCAGCAAAGGTAAAAAAAGGCTCCAATAACCTCTTATTACTTCTCTGAGCCGGACACTTTGAACACCTGCTAATTTTCTTTATGTAATTATTTGTTTTGCTGTAACACGACTGCGTTGTTTTGCTCACTGCTAAGCAATTAACAGTTTGTCCTTCCAGAAATATCCGACGCCCCAGACGCTATTAACTCGTCGGAACATTTTCAACACAAACATTCCAGGGGAAACTCAGTGGCGCCTCTTCCACTTTCTGGAACGAGCACCTCTCCAACCACATCCCCCCCATCACCAGAACGCCACACCGGGGCAGGAACCACCAGGAAGGAGTTGTTCATTCTGCACACAACCTCCTCATCCCACATCACTTTGAGGCTGGCAGATTTCCTCACAAAATCCCATTCTCGTGAGCACCAGTGAAGAAACTGACCCTCACCCTAACAGCGATGGATGGCTCTTGCATCACGTTCCCATGGCTTGCAGGCAGCAACCAGCTTTGGGATTTCAGAGAGGCCAGAATCTTGGTTACCCTGCCAGCACGTTTAATTTCTGACCTACGGACCCAGAAGTGCTTAAACAAGCTTCAAAAGTAACTTGCTGGATAGATTTCCCTGAAGCCACCAATCTTTTGGTCACTTTGGGTCATTCAGTCTGGGAACAGCCTGCTGGAAAGTGATCAGGGTGCTATCAGGTCCCTCTTTTATAATGAGCCTATCAAACATGATCCCTTCAAAAGGATCTAGATTGGTGCTTAGGATCAGTATCTTACAAAAGCAAATTTTAAATAACCTAACATGACCTCAAAATAAAATCCCCCTTCGCCAAATACTTTCTTTTTTCCCCTTTCTCTTATTGACAAATGCATGCACTGAGATGAGGGTAAGACTTCGAAGTCCCACCATGGTTTTGTTTATGGGTATCAAGAGAGAGTCACAGTCTTTTTGCTTACAGTACCTAAAAATTACAGTAGTGATTGACATTTGAAATGCAAAAGTCCAGTCAGAAAGTCCTTTCCCTGAATCTGCTGGGCAGTGTGTGGGACTTAAGCACGTAGCACTGGGACTTGGCATGCTCAGTTCCCAGCCTGTTACCATCAGAAACAATCACAGTGGAGCAGAGCTAAGGACCATCTGTCCTGTAAACCTGCAACCTGCTATGAGAAAGTCATAAAAACATGCATGTGGTAGTACTTTCCCCTAGGAATGCTCTCCTGCCTCTGGCACAATTTGTAGATCCACGTCTCCACGTGTTCTCAGGACACTGGGCAGGAGCAGGAAGCGTATCTGATATGTTTAACATACATTAACAATACACTTTCAAAACTATACATATGTATATAATAAAAGTCTAGTATTTTCCTGTATACAGGTACAAAAGGATCATCGCCGCTTTATTTACACATTCTCAACTGAGAATCTCTTTTAGAAAATCAGTTTAGCCAGGATGTGATGCTCAATACCTATGCAGTTGTAGCTACAGTGCCAGGTTCCTTTGGTATTTATTCTGTGTTACATTAAGGCACTTGCTTGATCTCAGTCACGTGTAAGCTGGTACTTAAAATGCCATCAATTGAGTTCCTAGCCAGAATCTTCCCTCTCCATAAAACTTGAGTGCTCATTGTGGAAAAGAAGGAAGAACAGATCCTCATGGATGAGATAAAGACTCTCCTTCGAATAGGTGCTGACTGAATGATCACAAAATGAAAGGAACAGGAGGGAGGAGTGTCCCCACAGCAGAAGCTGTACTGACACAGCCCCATGTCACAGTGCCTACAGCAAGGACTCGGGCTCCCTCTCCCTGCCCACTGCTGTCTCAGTGTCTCGGAGGCAGCTCCCTTTCCTCAAAGAAGAGCTCTCTCGTTGGCTGTTGAACTGGTAAACTCGCCGCTTAAACAAGCGATGGAGCTTCTCCTGGAACTGGTTCCCAATGAAGCAGTACACCAAAGGGTTGATGCAGCTGTTGGCAAAAGCCATGCAGATGCCAAATGGCAGTGCTGTGTCAATGATTCCTGTCACATCACAGTTGTCAATGACGTTCATACGAGCCAGGGCATCCAAAAACGTCAAAATGTGGAATGGGAGCCAGCAAATTAAGAAGGCCACAACAACAGCAGCCACCAGCTTTAGGACTCTGTCCCTCTTCTGCTTGTTTTTGCCAAACTCCTGTGCTTTTATCAAGTGCCTCCTGATGCAGACGTAGCACGTGGTGATCACCGTCAAGGGGATGAAGAAGCCGAGTGCATTTTTCAGGAAGGCTGTTCCCACAGACCACTCTGCATAACTCTCATGAGGAAATGCCATAATGCATGCTTTCACCTCCATGCTTTTAATGTAGTGTGTGTCACGGAAATAAAAAGTTGGGAGGGAGGACAAACAGGCAAGGCCCCACACAACCAATGCGATAAAATACGCCTGATGTGGAGTCCTTCTTTGGGAGCGAATAGGATGGACAATCGCATGGTACCGGTCCACGCTCATGCACGTAATGAAAAATATGCTTGCAAACATGTTCAGACACAGGACAGAACTGGAGATTTTGCACATGAGAGATCCAAAGATCCAGTTGTACCCCTGCGCATAATAGGCAGCCCAGAAGGGAAGGGTGGCGAGACACAGCAGATCCGCCATAGCCAAGTTAAAAATGTAGATATTAGCAACTGTTTTGGGGCTGCTGCGATGACAGAGCACCACAACCACCACGCTATTGCCAACCAAACCCAGAGCAAAAACCACAGAGAAGAATGCTGGAATTAATGAAAACTGGTAATTGGAAGAGGTCAGTGGGCAGGGAGGCGGTGAGCGCAACACAGCCGATGAGTTTGCCTGCGCTGTATAGAAGATCTGGAGAGTTTCCCTGGTGGTGATGAGCATGGAGTAGTTGCTCTGCATGTTGGTTCTGGCAGAAAGGGAGGCTCTGTAGGAAATGCATGTGCTATCAGCACTTTGCTGTCACATCGCTCACCTGCAGATCAGAAAACGAGTGTGAGACATACGCTCTGCAGCCACCTCAGTTCTGGAATCACAGTCATAATAAAATAAAATCATTTAAAATGATGTCGGGAAGCTGGGAGCTGAAATATCAGGCAACCCTGCTGGACTCCTTTCCTCAATCCCACTAATAGGATGCAATTAGCACTGGGGAGGTCATGGCACTTTTTAATTAGCTGGGCAGAAAAGCGAGCAGCTGGGTTTTATCTGCTGCTACAGATGGTGCTTTCTGTGGCCAGCAGAGCAGAAAGATGATTGACTCAGGAACTACAGATACTGCAGGAACTTCTGAGACAAAAGGCAGTACTAAAGCTCCTTGCAATCGTTTTCTTGGATTTCATTCTATTTCCAGCACTCTGAACAGTTAAAATAATGTAGAAAGGCAGCCCTTGCCAGCGGGGATCAAGTCGTTCACACCTGAAGATCACCTGGGATTTCATAGGCATGAAAGCAGCCTTTTAGTAGGGCTATTAAAAAGCAAGCTTTTTCTTTTTTTTTTAATTCACAGGGCTGGATACAAGGACACTGAGGGGTCTTTGCAGAACATCACTTACTGTTAGAGTCTTTATCAAAGGAAATCCACATCTCTTGCTTCCGCACCGTAAAGACTTTTAATTAGAAGGGTAAAAGAAATATATTCCATGCAGATTCAAGCAGTACACTCAAATATGTGGTCCATGCAGGCATGGATTTAACAGCATTATTTACCCTTCAGTTAGAAAGATTAGGACTGGTTTTTGGTGAAGAAAAATATAGCTATCAAGCATCTGAAATAGGAGATTCTCTTGACAGATCAGCCTTTGCTCCTGTGCTTCAAGCAGGGCATTTTTCAAACGTAAAGACATTTTAGTTAATAACGAAATCATACTCAAAGATATCATTTTACTTAATGAAAAGACAATTCCTTTTTAATTAAGTCCTTATGGAACCAGTCAGGCATTTAAGAATTCTCAAAGGGCCCTTAAAGCAGCAGAAATTTTGACCAAGTAAAGACAACAGAATTGAGTAATGATGTCTCATTTAAAAGAGGATAGCTGATCACTTCACAAGTATTTTCAGTATTAACAATTTAGTATACAACCCTTCATCATTTGCTCAATGCAAAATATGCGATTCACTCCACTGAATGCACTGACAAAACTGAATTTTAATTGTGTTGTCTCACAATAATGACAATTCAATGGGAAAATGTTAAGGTATATTTCTGCAGCGTGCTGCAGGTACGGCATCACAAACCCATGCTGGATAATCAAACAGGTCTTAAACAGAGCAAGATCCAGGGCAGGGTCTGTTGCCTCTTATCTCTGACGTCCTGAGCCCTTCACATCAACTGCCAGAAGCTTAAATCTCAGATCTAGTAAGAAAAAACAACCTGATATCTCTGATTTAATACAGGGACCACACCATACCTGGGCTGAGCTACATTAATGGTAACGTTTCGTTGATGAAGATGCATCCTTCCCTGCACACAAACAACTCATAGCTTAGAAACTGTTTCTAAAATACAGTCATTCCTCCTTTTTACACACAACGAGGCATTTTATCACAAACTGTATAAAATCAGCAAAAATTATCTCCCAACAAACAGACAGAAAACATACCTCTGAAACTTCACTTTGGTCTGGATGTAGCTCCAGAGTTACACACTCCTCTTTGTCGTTTTCCTTCTGGCAAGTATCACCACCAGCTCTCTGCTCTCTTATATCTCCCCTTTTCCCACTGGGAGACTTTACCCTACATAACTTGAGAAGTAAAATATGAATGCTTGCCAGCTCCTTTTCCTTTTGGAAGCAAAACGCCTTCAGAAAACCCCCCTTTCCAAAGCCACGTGAGCAAATGCAGTAAATCAGGAGAGAGGAACAAGAAGACAAAAAAAAAAAAAGAAAAGAAAAAAAAGCAAGCAAGAAAAAGAAAATCCACATAAGTAACACTGCGGGTTTCTCCAGCAGCATTTGGGTCAGGAGAATACGCTCAGACACAGCTCCCTTCTGCCCCACCTCCACCCCCCATTGAAGATGAAACACATGTGAGCCTGAGTGCAAGGATTGGTGCTTTTCTGCAGGCAAGGGGATTCCCACACACTGTATGGAGTCCCAGTACTTGCTGTCACACTTGAGAGATGAATAGGCTGTTAGTGCTGGCAGAACTGACTGCAGTGTGAACATCCAGAGGCAGAAAGCAGAGGAACATCACAGCATCCACACCAGCATTTCTTGTGTAAGGGCGCTGAGCCTGTCTCCCAATTAGCGGCATGAGAAAGATGCTGTCCAAGCCCTTGAAATGATGCACAAACTGCTCAGAAGGAAGAGGGCAGCAGGAAAATTCCACGTGGCAGAGAAAAGTTTGGATCTGAGGCTGCAGTGAGGGAATGCGTGATCAAAATTAGCAGATCAGCAAGACTGTGAAGTCATATTTACTTCCCATCCATGCAAAGTTGAGTTCTTCCATCTGCTTCCTCCTCACCTCTCATTCTCTGCCTGACCCCAGGCTCCCTCTAAAAGTTCCTGCCTCGTCCCAGAGGACAGCAGGAGAATAAAAACTGAGGCAAAGGAATCATCCATGAGCCTTAAACATTTTGTACTCTGAATGTGATCTCTGCAGCAGCAGCCCATCTACTGGGGTACATACTGGGGTAGATGGGCGTTGTGCTCTGCAGGCAGGCTGCACTTGCCAGGTGAAAGCAGCCACAGAATGCCCCCATGCAGTGCCCCAATGATTGCCCTTGCAAATGATAATACCCATAATAGCTCAGGGGCTGAAAAAGTCAAGATTTAACTAATAAGCTTTAAGACAAAAAATTTGCATTCAGTTCCAACATACCACAACCAGTGCTGGGAGACAGTAGCTTTCTCAAGGGGCATTAAACACATGTTCTAAGAACTCCATCCTTTTTTCAAACCAAACATCCACAAACCACGTCAGCTGGAGCACATCGGATGTACAAATGCAACAGATGCACGCCCTGCTGCAGAGCAAATGAAATGCAGCCAACCCTCCTCTCACACACCCTGCCACAGGTCTGAAGGACTACAGGCTCTAAGAGTGACAAGAGCTGTCAGCACTCACTTTTACCCAAATCCTTTAAATATTTTACCAACCATATGTGACAGGATGCTCTCAGCTAGGAGTTGTTGCTGCTAATTCTTTTGCATGCAAACGGCTGCTGAAAGATCTTTCTCTGTCCTTCATCTATCATCCACAGTGTACTTTGTAAGCATGGAAAAAAGTCAAAAGCATGAGAATGTTTATTTTGCAAAGATAACAACCTCAGATTGTTTAGATTTAAATCTAACATTTTCCCTTCCAGATATACTTCTGATCCTCACAGATACTGGCAGTCTTTCCTGTTCTATCATTATCACAAAAACACATTAAAACTGTATCCTGGGTCCACATGTCTTGGTAGAAAAGAGCTGGACCTGATGCAGAGTCATTGCAGTGGGAGTCCTGCTTTGGGCAGCCCTTTGCCAAATCCTGCTCTTCTTCTCCTCCTGTCATTTCTCAATGCATGTGATCCCCTATCTGATCCCAAGTCCTGCTCCAAAGCTCCATTTAGTCACATGCAAAACTTCTGCCTCTTCTATTTCCATGTCACTCGTTTCTTTCTCTTGCTATTTCTGAGCAAACCCAGGCTTTCCTTTCTACTCTCAAACCTATACACCTAAAGAAGTCATTAGATGTGTTCAAAAGCAAGCAAAAAAAAAAAAAAGCAACCACACAAAACTCACGTCCACTATTCAAGTAGCAACTTCTGATCAACTGTGCATGCTTCAAAAATCTGAACTAACACAGTCCAGTTCCTGGGTCTTGGTCTTTAGCACGACAGTGCTGCTGTCAGGGATGGAATATTCCAAGCAATCAATGTATCAGTTCCAGCAGACGGTCAGAGCCAGCTCCTGAGGCTAAACCTTGCCAAATCCTCGAGGCAACATGGAATCTAGCTATAGAGCATATTCAAGGGCTTGGTTTGTTTCTTTTGGAGAAAGAAAGAGAGAAAGGCTCTTGTAAATGTGCTCCCCAAGACAAGTCGCCTTGTGTGGGTCAGAAAGACTCTGATCCCTTCAGTACTGATTTATAGCAGCATTCCCTCACTGCCCTCCCTCCGCCGCCCCCCCTCCCCCCCCCAGAATAAAGAAGACAAAAAGAAAACACAAAAAACCACAGTCCCAGGGCAGCAACAGAGGATGGGGACTCAGTGCCATCACACAGCTTGGGAGTGGTGTGGCTGCATCATGCTGGACACTGAGTCTTCTGAACACACACACACCAAAACTGTTCCTCCTACAGCTCGGCTCCGTGTGCACTCCATAAACGTTTATATGCATTCTTCCTTCCCACTTCTGTTTGTTTAAGAGTTACTTTAGGGATTAACTGTAAGGTTGAAGTACCTACTTCCCCTCTTCCCAGTGCGCTTCTGGAGGACCCTCACATCCCTTTCAGGATGTGGCTGTGAGCAGTCCCCCATTAAAAACTGATGTCTGAAGCAGCAAGTCCTGCTCACACACAGCAGCTGCAGCCCCTGATGCATTGTGCTGGGGCTTAGCACTGACTCAGGCTGCCCAGGGAGGTGGTGGATCCTTAGTGTTCCACAGTGGAGTGAATATAAGGACCACCTCTCCAGGATCCATCAGAATATGGTATCAGAGAACTCTGTTCCCATTCATTTGCTAGAAGGCAACAATTTTTGAAGCAATTCAGTTGCAGCCCACATGGCAGAGGCAGTTCAGGGGCAAGAGGGATGCTGTTTCCACATCCAATATGCAGAAAAAAAGTTTTCAAGGCTTATTTTTTTATTTAATGTTTGTGTCCAGCCGATAGCACTGCCAAGACTGAGCTTATCCACTATGACATTGCTTGTACAAATAATTGACCTCAAGCATTTTACAAGTTACTAAAAGCAGTAAAGAAAACAAGCACATAAATGACTTTGGAAACAGGCTGCACCCAGTGCCACTAGAAGCAGTGCGTGCACTCACACCCTGGCAGCTCAGGGTGAGCAGCACAGCACACCTGGTCTGAGCTCCATGCCCAAGCACTGCACAGATTCGAGCTGTGGTCAGAGGAGATAAAACACCAGGTACCAGTGCTTGTCCGCAACGGGCACAGAGCCCACCTCCCACTGATGCTGCTATGGGCAAAGCAAAGCATTTCAGGAATGAAGGCCAACTCAGCTGAAATGCAATGGGAACCCTTGGGAACTCATATTCAGCATTTGTAAATATCAATTTTTCATCAGAGGTAGTTTTCACCTGCTCCCTTCCCCCAGACTGGTTGCTGAAGCCAACAGATCAATGCCAACAGCCTGTAGAAGAGAGCTCCCATGTGTCTAATCTCTGCTTTACTAGCATTAATACATCTGTAAATAACCCAGCATTTAAAGGATGTTTCTTTTTATGTTCTCAAAGTGCTTTTTTAGGAACAGCTAAGAACTCCAGAGAACTCAGAGATCATTAAAAAAAAAAAAAAAATCTTCCCTCTTTTCAGAACTGCATTCACTGTAAGCATCACATCATCCCCCACTTTCAGTGATTCCATCCATCTCACCTTTGCTCACCAGAAAGTTTAAAGTAAGCAAACCTTTCTCTTTTAAATCATTAGGCCCACATGACAATCCTGAAGTAGATGCTTGTGGACTGCTTATAACTGCTCTCCGTTCTGTGAAGAAAATACAGCTCCTTAAAGCCTACAGTATTAGGCAGGGCACTTGACATCAGCTACAAATAATTTCTGAAGTGGGTGTGCTGGTCTGAAAATCCCAAATGTCAGAGAAATTAGTGAAGAAAAGGCAGAACACACTCGTGGTCATGGTGTGGGTGTAGTGCATTTCGACAGAAGACTTGCAGTGGTTCAGCCTTTCCATCAGTGCCAGAAGGATGAGCCATCACAGCCAAATGCATGATGTACTCCAGAAAACTCTTCTAGCAGATGGGGTGGGACAACCACAGAGAGAGATTGAGATGGACTTAAATAAGGGCTAAAATGTGGCGACACCAGGGGAATAGCAACCAAAAAGGCTGAGTAAAATTAAAAGGGCATCAGCACAAGTGATCTGTCTTCTCCAGCCTGAGTTACAAGGCTCCAGCTAGGGGCAAGATACACCATTCCTGGCTGGGGACATGGAGCCCAGCAGAAAGCTGGCTCCTTTGCAGTCCCAACTGAGCTGTGAAAACAGAAAACACAAAGGTTCAACCATTAAAATCTTTGATGTGGCCCCAAAGGTGACAGCAGCACCTTTCCATCTTTCTCTGGTGCTCCCAGGACAAACCCCTTGCCAAGGCCATGACACCTCTGCTACCAGGGTGAGAACCAGCATTCGGCCAAGGCAAAGCCTGTCTAACTAAATAAATGATGTTATTTACAGCTGGAAGATGGTCTCTGTTACACAACACAGCTGTCCTAGCCAAGCTTACAGGGAGCAACTATTCTTTGGAGGGTTGTTGCCTGAAAAAATGAGGAGGAAAACAGAACACAGTGATCTAACAGGACAGGAAATCTAATCTGTTTCTGCACAGAAAACAGTGCATTTTGCAGATTTGCCCAGTTCACACCATTGGGCATATCAGATATTTTTAGCCACTGCTTGGACAGTGGGGACAGACCATGTTTTGACAGCTTTAAGAGGAGAAAGTGCTGGGGAGTGACAGGAAATCCAAATCTGTAAACTAGGAAGAAGAGTTGGCAGACCAAGAAGCTATGAGAAGTACCTGGATGGAAGGGGCTGGGACGAGGTGTTTCAAATACCTCAAAAACTTCATCACTCCAATAGTGAGGGACCTCACAGATTGCTCACACTTCCTCCAGGGCACAAGCAACAAGAGGATTGATGTGAGCAGGGGAATTTGAGGAGGGCTCTGCAATGTCCTCACGTGGGTCCAATCACTCAGTCCTTTTCAGAAAGCAGTATCTACATGGCAAGAATGGAATCGCTGAATCTTGTAAATGAAAACAAAAGCTTTTTCTCTGCACTCTGGATATAGGATGAAATACAAAGACATACGTTTTAGGGACCCAAGCGCAGCTCTGGCTGCTCAGTGGCATCTTCAGACACAGGGAAGAGCAGCATGCCCTTGGGTGCTCTGAGCTTTGCCCCTGGGTTAATCATTTCCCACCCACGGATGGCTCAGGGCTTACTCAGAAGCAATGCAGCATCAGGACACAGCACTGCCCTGCATGTTTCTGGCTGGCAGTAAGCACAAGGTTTGCTCAGCTCATGACATTTCTCCCTTTGAGGAGCCACAGTCATCCACAGAGCTGTTGAGGGTCACTCAGATCTGGAGGAAAGTCTGTTACCTGCTGCT